CGACGACAAGGCGAACTGGAAGGTGCTGGGCGAGACCTCGATGGAGGGCTACCACATCAAGGCGCTGCACAATCAGTCGTTCTTTCCCTACGGCTACGACAATCTGAACGTGGTCGAGCTGCACGGCCGCAATTCGCGCATCGTCTTCCCGTTCCGCCGCATCGAGAAGCTGCGAGCCCTGCCGCGCGAGGAGTGGAGCACCCAGGGCCGCATCACCGACGTGCACCAGCTCTTCCCCAACACGCATGTCAGCGTGCTGTCGAGCCACGCGATCCTGATCATTCTCGAGCCGGTATCGCCCTCGGAGACCCACTGGGTCGTCTACCAGCTCGCGCCGCGCATCAAGAACGGCAAGCCGCTCGACATCGAGCAGGCGCGCAAGGATGCCAATTTCGTGCAGGAGAGCGGCATACTGGAAGACCGCCACGCCGCCCGCGAGATCCAGTCGGGCCTGGCCTCCGGCGCCAATACCCACTTCACTTTCGGCCACTACGAGCAGGCGATCGGCCACTTCCATCGCCATCTCACCGAGCATGTCGAGATGCTGAAAGCGAAGCAGGCGTAGCGACGCACGCTCTGGCGGCGGCTGGTGGAATCGCGTAGGGGCCTGCGCTCACTCCCACCCCTCTCCGAGGTTCGCATGATCCAGACGCTCGTCGTTCGCCAGTTCAGCAAGATGCTGGGCAATCTCACCGAAATCCTGAACGATGCCGAGAAGTATGCCGGCGAGAAGAAGTTCGATGTCGCCGTGCTGCTGCACGCGCGCCTGGCGCCCGATCAGTTCGACCTGATCCAGCAGATCCGGATCGCCTGCGACACCGCCAAGCTCGGCGCCGCGCGGCTGGCCGGCACCGAGAAGGATGCGCCGGTACACGCCGACACCGAGGCGACGCTGGCCGAGATCAAGGCGCGCATCGAGAGCACCGTCGCCTACCTGCAGGGCTTCACCGCCCAGTCGTTCGCGGGGGCGGCCGAGCGGCGGATCACCCAGCCGCGCTGGAACGGCAAGTCGCTGTCGGGCGAGGAGTTCCTCGTCCAGCACGTCATTCCGAACTTCTATTTCCACGTCACGACCGCCTACGCGATCCTGCGCCACAACGGCGTG